GTTGAGTGGTCAGTGGGTTGATGCTGCGAGGCTATTCGGTTGGAGGAGAAATCATATAGGACATGATAATATTTAGCAACACTAGATGTCCCTCAACTCCACGACTCTGGGCCATTTCCTGGTGCGTTACAGGAAAACCCTTTCTCTAAGGGCATGTTTGTATCGTTGAGGAAAGGGCGTTATTTTCAAACTAGTTACAACCCAACTCCTGTGGGTCCCTGTTGAGCAGCTCCTGTGTCCAGTGTAGCAAGAGACACTGTAGTGTGGGAAATTGAGGCTCAGGTGACCCCAACTAAACTCTCCCATGACAAAATCAAAGCTCTGCACAACATAGCAATGGAAAGAGCTGGCTCTGCAGCCTCGGACTTTGCTTTGTTTTATTAGTTTCCTTTCTGGACACTTTCTGTTCATCTGTGGATGTCAGACCCCATTTGTAACACCTGCTTTTACTAGATTAGCAAAAGTCGATTAAGCAGATTTTAATGCAACAGCTGCTATCAGTCGTATTTGTGACGTGTTACCAATATCTGTAGGGCCAACAGATTTCTTTTTCCAATGGTCGCATGATGTTGAAATGCAGATGAGCAGCCTCAGACTTAGAGTGATGGGTGTAATTTAAGTCATGCCAGCCAGGGGGGGGGGTGATGTTTAAGGCTGAACCTTGTTGTCTTTGGACAGGTGCCGTGGATTCAGGGTCTTCCTCCTCCTCCTCCTCATCTAGCTTTGTGAACGGGGCCACCAGCAAAAACCTGCCAGCGGTGCAGACTGTGGCCCCAATGCCAGAGGACTCGGCAGAGAACATGAGGTAGGCTCTGCCCCTCTCCCACCAGATGAGGCCTGGGCAGTAGGCCTGGTCGCAGTTCCTGACAGCCAAGGTGGCATTGTATAAGCCACCCTCTGCTCTGTTCCTACTTATTCAAGACAAACATCAGGAAGTGATGTTTTATTTCACAGTCTAAACAGAGAGCTCGTGACTGTCCTTCCTATATTGTCATCCCTTGTCCCCCTGTGTATGTTAATAGTTTTAAAAGGAGGTGGATTCAAAACATGCCCAAATCATAGCAAGACAGGAGAGGCCATGGGGTGAGGGGTGGGCAGTTGGGGGCAAAAGTTTACGAAGCAAATGTTTGAAAGGCATCAGCCCTCCTCGGTGACTGATACACCAGATGAACTGACATACTGCAGTGCTGCCATAGCTCAGTGCCATCTAGTATGACTTCTAGGGAACAGTGAGGTAGGAGCTAGATCATGCGTGTGTGTGTACATGTCTGTGCAGATGTGTGTATATACAAAAGCTCAAAAAAACCCAACCAACTCACAGCGACTCTATGTACAAGGGAATATGGGTGAAGGAACGTCAAGAGGCTCATGGGAAACTCCACAATGGTCATCCTGCTGCTCTGCGGACCTTGGAAGGCGCAGCATTGTGAACTGCAGGTGAAAGCATGCAGAGAAGACGTCAAACCACTGTGTCCATGCCAGCCGGAGGCATGAGCACATGTGGTGCCGTCACCCAAGTCCAGGAATAACCCCAAGCCCGCTTCTGTGCCAGGAATAACCCCAAGCCCGCTTCTGTGCTAGGGGTCAACAGGCCCCAGAGTCCTGCCTTGATCTCCTTTCTCATCAGAGTTGCTCCTCCTCACACCCACCAGCCTGGAGGCCATATGAGATGAGTGTGTCTGTTGGGGATTTCATACACATGGAAATATACAGTGTCTCCTTTTGTTCCCACTGGACAGCATGCTGATGAACTCGTCCATGTTGCATGTAGTGATCGCTCTTTCTGTTCCATTTTCATTCCACTGTGTGGGCTTACTACCCCTTAGCAATCCATCCTACTGGTGGTAGGCATGTATAAGTCTCCAGGTTTAGCTACTTCAGGTAGCTGCTGTGAACACGGCTGTGCATTGGTGTTGGTCCCCTGTGCAGGATGTGTGCGTCTCTGCTGGGTAGCTAGCTAGGAGTGGAATTGCTGGCACATAGGGATTGGGTGCTGGCAGTTCATGTGTCTGCAGGGCTGCTGGTACATAGCGCATCCTGAGAGGCTCCCACTGACTGTTCCTACTGGCGTGGCCGCGCTCCCTAAGATTATAGCCCCGTTCATGTCTGTCAGCTCAGGAGAGCAGGGGGATATTCCATTGAACTTCAGTGTCCTTTTTTCCTGGTGATTAATATGGTTGAGCATCATTATTCTATGTTTTTGGTCATTTGGCTTCCCCTTTTTATGATTTGCCTTGAGAGCTTTTGCTCAATTAGAAGTGTTTTTGTTTGAGTTTATAAACCATCATGCATGATAAAAACAAGGCCATGGTCTATCTCTTTCATTCAGTGGCTTTTTATTAGCTTATCGGTATGGTGTGTTTTGATTCTCAGAAGTGGTTCATTTTAATGAAGTTTAGTTAATCAATTTTTTGAAGAAATCCTTGTCTGTATTTCCCCTTTCTTCTGGGTATTCATGTGTGTGCGCGTCCTGATCTGAAATCCACCTGCAAGGGGTCAGCCTTAGTGAACCTAAGGTAGAAATCAGGTCACTATCACAGGGCCATCAGTTTGAAAGTCTGTTCTAGCCCAGGGTTGACCTTTTACCATCCGCCCAGTGTGTGTGTGCCTGATCCTGGATTAGGAATCCACCCTGCCCCGCTGTCTCTCTGTCCATCTGCGTGCCGCTGTCTTTCACATCCAGCTTAGTGAAGATCTATGTCAGGGGGAAAAATCTCTCCCCACCCCGCTCTTCACCCTTGAGTGCCCTGAGATACCCCACTGCCACCGTTCACGCAGGCTTTCAGAGTGCTTTCTGTGAAGGTATACAAGCAGCGTAGGTTCCCATCCCATCCTTTCTGCACAGTCACTCCGGGGCCCAGGCGGCAGGAACATGCTCACGGTCCTGCTCGGGGGTCCCTTCCCCTCCTCTGGCTTCACTGGCCCCTGTGTCCTCACTCTTATCCTACAGTGCTTGTTGGCCGTTTAGTCTCAAAAGGGGGATGCTTCAAAGGGGCATATGCTTACATCATGTTTTGAACTAATTTGCCCTTCAGCTACAAGCTGACTTCAGGGGTCAGTTTCTGTTTCATGTTTGTGGAGCATCTCAGGGCAACATTTTCAGAAGCCCCCCGGTAGATACGTTTTTTGTTTGTTCATTTTTAGTAATTTAAGGTTTTGTTCTACATTTTTCTCCCCTGTCACCAAGGTTTCTCTGGGTGGCCCTGAGCAGTGCAGTCAGTTTGGGGTAGTGGAGCACCATCTAGTTCTCCTGGTCTCAGGAGAGAGGAGGCCATGGCCTGTAGAGGCATCTCTTCTGTGAGGTTTTGGTTTCCTTCCTTCTCGCTTACTCTGCATGAGGAGCGACCAGTAGCTGTAGCTTGGCCTCTTTTAAGTTTTTAAAACTGTAGACACGCATGACTCACCAAACTAGGGGGCGGAGCCTTACTTTTCTTAACTGTACTGTGCCAGTGATCTGGAATGTTTCTCTGTATTTCCATGTGAATTCTATAATTTGGGAGTCCGGAACACTCTAAAATAACTTGCTGGAGTTTGGAACTTTAACAAGGAGTGCATCCCATTCATAGATCGATTGCCGCTGGCATTAGATTGCTTAGTTTTTTATGATACTGTGATTGCTACCCTCTGAGTTTTGTACAGTCCCCGGGTTTCTTTTGTTGTTCCTGAACTACGGCCAAGAGTGATTCTGTGTTTTCTATGCAGAAGTCTCATATGTTTCTGATTAAGTTGATTCTCGGCAACTGGATATTTTCTGGGTTGTTTTTTTTAAATTATCCTCAAGTTGTTTCACATCAACGAAAGACATGTTTTCATGATGCTGTACATGAGATACTTTAGTTTCAGTGACCGAGTGTATGTGACAAGCAGGTCCAAAGGAGGGGGTTTCATTTCTGTAGGAGCAGATTATGCATTTCCAGACGGTGGGCGGCCGGGGGAAGTAAGCCCAGAGATCAGTAGTCCTTGTGTTCACAAGGACCACACTCCAGCGAGGTTTCTTCCTCTTCTGGTTGGGTCACTGGCATGTGTAGGACTCGGGATACCAGGCATTCCCCGTCTGGAATTCCCACCACACTCCGTGTGGTGGCTCCGTGGTGGCGTTCTGTCGGCTTGGAGAAAGATGTGGCATGGGCCTCTCCGGTTTGCTCTGTCTGTGTTTGAAGGACTTCTCTTCAAGCTCACAGGTCCTGTCTGGGCTCCAGTGAGGGCATTCGCCACCTGGGGCTGCGTCTTCCATTTGTAGCTTTCTCTTTCCTGCCGTTTCCCATTTACTTCCTGAAACGTGTTCACACATGTTGTTTGCCTCTCTGATGAGACCCTGTATCATGATCCGTGCTGGTGGTTGTGATGCAACATCCCTTCGAGCCCACCAGCTCAGGGGCTCCCCGTGGTGGGAGTGGAAGACAGTCTGCCATGGTTTCCACCCTTCCCCGGGGGAAGTGACAGGTGCCCCCCAGGATGTTTTTGCTGAACCCATTGCCAGGCCTTTGTTCTTAGGTACCTGGGACAGACACAAACCCCGAGACCCTTGGCCATCTGTGGGGGCCCCACCCTTTATTTGTCACAGCCAGGGACCAGCATGACTTGTCCTCCACTGACCACCTGTGGCATTTTGTCATTCATACTCTCCTAGTCTTGTCCTCTCAATCTGTGTGTGCTTAAGCAGGCTAGGCCACTTGTCCTTAGTGACATTTTAGAATCTGGGCAAAGTAATTGATTCCTGAAGCTCTGTGTGCCCTGGTGGTGCCCTGGGTAAGCACTCAGCTGCTAACTGGAAAGTGAGTGGTTCAAACCCTCGAGTGCCCCAGAGGGGAAAAGATGCCACCTGCTTCTGTAAAGATTGTGGTCTTGGTGACCCTGTGGGGTAGTTCTGCTCCAGCTGGCCGGGCCACTATGGGTGGGAATTGATAGGACAGTACGGGTCTGGTTTAATAATACTCTTGGCTTTGACAATGACAGTAAGTACTTCTCTCTCTCTGAACTTGATCATGTAGCTGCATTGCTTGAGGATATGCTATTATTTATTTTTCAGTCTAGATTTTATTACACCTATCCATTCTGCCATGATTTAAGAATGAATGGAGAAAGTTCAGAAATTTTATCTACTAAATCCAATTAGTGTTTACTTAAGACATTATATGAAAGACCAGGGTCATTTTGTTAAACCCAAAGTAAATAAAACTTGTTAAGTTTATGAAGCAGCAGAAACATAAAGAAGTTTATTAAGAGAGATTGTGATTCGGGCAGTGAGTGCCATAATGGAAAGTAGATGATGTTTTCTAGAATTGCTCAGCCCAGAGCACTGTGGGGAAACAAGCCAGGCCTGTGTAAGCCCTGTTGACAAGGAGAGGTGTACTGTGGGAAGTGCAGGTCCAAGCAAACTGTGCCCCTTTCCCCATCCCTGTGAGTGTACTCTCCGACCTTGGGTGTGCCTGCTGCAGTCCTAATATGCCTTCACAGTGCCATGGGGACCTGTCAAGTACCGTTTCCTCCCAGGGTCTACTATATATTTGTTAGATCAATTCCATAAGATTCCTCTAATACAGGAAGAAGCAAACTCCTGTCTGTCCCTTTTGTTAAAAGGGATGTTGAAGTGTTTTAAGTCGGCACTGGAGCAGAGGAATTTCAGCTAAAGTGTGGTGATCTCCTGGGAAGGCTTATTTGCTGGATATGGTCATTTTGCTGCAATGGCCCATGAACTCCCGAGGTGGCCACAGATTTTCTCAATAGAAATCAGCAGTTCTCTTCTATGCATGGGTTTATATTCAATCTCAAGGAAAACAGCCCAAGTCAAAACAGTCCCCTGCCAAGCCTCTTACATACCGAGTCCTGTAGGTGTTGCCAGTGGGATGGGGGTCGGTGGGGGTGTGGAGGTGTCAGGGAGAAGGAGAATAAGGGCCGAGAGCATGTGTTTCAGGCTGCAGTATATGCCTTCCCCATGGAGCGCTCTGGACTTTCCAACTGGGCTGGGGCACAGCAAGCTTCCCCTAAGACGGGGTCAGCCACCTGCTGCACCTATCACCTTCCCGTCACCTCCGAGAACCTAGTGGGCCAAGCCAAAGGAGTGGCATTTGAAGAAATGAAATCAGCTTTCAAAGGCAACAGAAAACCAACACTTGGTCTTTTAAAATCATGAAATAGTCGCCCTGTTCTTACAAAACCATTTGGGAAGAATGTATCTTCTTCTGCCAATTCTTCTCTGTTCTGTGTTAGTTTTGAAGAGAAAATGGCTTCATTTTTATAGTATAAAGGGCAGAGCATTTTCCTTGATTCACTTATTTAACTTTTTTTCTCTTATTTTTAATTTAATAGACCCCTCTCTTCAATATGTCGGGATTGTGATGAAGATTGAGTTTTAGACTGAGTTTCTGATACTGAAATTGAAATAACAGGAGGAGCACAGGTTTGGGTGACTGAGGGCTACAGTGCTGTTCGGTCAGCATTGGGCTGCTAACTTCAAGGTCAGGTTCCACCTCACCAGCTACTCCGTGGGAGAAAGATGGGGCTGACTGCTCCCCTGAAGAGTTATAGTCTCAGAAAGTTTGTCTAGGGTTGCTGTGAGTTAGAATCAACTTGAAGGTAGTGGAGGTGCTCCTGAAGCTGAGATGGGTGTTTGTAGCGTCTCCTCTGAGGATGCGCATGGTGAGTGTCACCTTCTTGACAGCGCTTCTCTCCTGCAAGACAGCGCAGTCTCACAGTCACTGAGGATCGCTGACACTAAAGCCACTGCCCCTGGCCCTGCGACCAAGGCCATTCCTACTCCCAGGAGCCCTGCAGAGGGACTCGGACACTGCACATGCTTACGGCAGCAGATCGCCTGTCTCATCTCCCCACTTAGAACATTGCCCGGTCATTTGATAGGGAATTTTGTCCAGATTCTTTGATAGTTCTGTTATTATTTAAAGGTTTTGATCTCTTGCCATAAATAATTCGCTATCCTGTTTATCCTGTTAAGGAATGAAAATTATGGGAGCAGAATGAAAATACAATATGCAAGAGTTACATTTAATATTACATTAAGCTTTATGAAAAAAAAATAGATGCAGAAAACTGTTATCACAGAGGATCAGTCGAAAGGCCTGTTTTGTTCATTACCCAGGTATCAAGGCAACACTAACACATTTGTATGCATAAATGTGACCAGCACTACAATTGATTGAAGTTTCTATTTGATATCAAATCACACAGAAAGGTGTGACTTTTGCAACTATAAAGCCTTGAAATCTGACAAAAATACATAAAGATATACATTTTTATATAAAGTAAAAAAACTATCTATTTTCCCACCTGGTACTCTAAGATGTCAGCCTCCTTGTAATTCATACAGCATGCAATCTTAAAGAAGAAGGAGTGTCCCTGCTCATACACAGAGAAGAGTCTCTGTGGTTACTCCTGACTTTTCTACCCTTCCTGGACCCTCCTGTTCTCTTGTTTGTGGGAGGCCAGTGAACCCTGCTGGTGGGTAGCTGTGGCCGGGGAGAGCTACCCCATATTGTTTCCTGGATTGTAAGTTCTGTGAGAGCAGATAGTCAGGTCTCTTTCCCATGAAGTGGCTGGGCTCCAAGGCCAGGCTTTCCGTTAGCAGCCCAGCACAGAACCATTGCCCGGCAGGGCTCCTGGGGGCTCCTTTTGTCTTCTAGTGGTGGTGGTGTGATGCGCCAATGTCACAGTCCATAAGAGCAAACGTGGGGTGTGTCTTCAGCTCAGGAACTGTCACATGTGCCAGCACTGTTCACCTCTGCTGGGGGCGGAGGGCGGGGCCACAGCTAGCAGACTAGAGGCCTAGGAATCAAGTCAAGCGCTGGCTTCCCAGCTCTCACCTTGAAGACTGAGTGACTATCTCTTACCAGTTATTCATTTCCTTGAGCAGCTACATTTCCTTCGCTCACTCTTTAAAACTTCCTTCAGGCATACTATTCAAGGTGCTCTCAAGGTCAAATAGGACTCATGTAGGACCATATAACTTAAAATTCAATAGGAATAAACAAATGATTGAGCCATGCAAATTAAACTAGACTCACTGCCATAGAGTTGACTTAGACTCATAGGACAGACTAGAACTGCTAGTGGGTTTCTGGGGCTATAAGGCCTGACAGACGCAGACAGCCTCAGGGACCAGTACATCGAAGTTAAAACGTCTTCCAAACCCACTGCGACCAAGTCGGTTCTGACTTAGAGAGAGAAGATCTTCTAGGACAAAGTGGAATTGCTCCTTAGGGTTTCTGAGACTGGATCTTCAAGGGAGCAGACAGCCTCCTCTTCCTCCTGTGGAACAGCTGCTGAGTTTGAACTATTGTTCTTACAGCTCATGGTACCATGCTTAACCTGCTGCACTACCTGATGGACTGGAAAATGCCCATTGTGGTCAAAAGCAAATCAAGTTGCTTCCCAGAATTCCCGTCATCCTCTTCCATGTTGTGAGACTACTTCTTTGAGAGAAAAGGTGGGGCCTTCTGATGGTACAGAGAGCCTTCAAAGGGTGTCCATTGCTCTGACCAGGGTTGCTCTCAGACAGACAAAAGCACAAACAATGACGGCAAGAGAACAACCCTTCCGAAGTTCTCCAGCTGGTAATGGAGACTGGTTTTTACAGGGTTCAGAGACCCGCACCCTCATCACACACACAGTTAGAGCCTGTCTTTGGAGTCCTTGCAACTAACCGCCTGTCAAAATGGACAGAGTGTCCTTTCTGCACAAGGCTTGTTGCCATTCCACAGACTGGAAGTGTACAGTTCACATTAAAAGTTGTTGTTCACTTCATACTGAATAATATTTATTGCTCTCCATGTCTTAATTTCAACAGCATTACCGCCAAACTTGAACGAGCACTAGAGAAAGTGGCTCCGCTTCTCCGTGAAATCTTTGTAGACTTTGCCCCGTTCCTGTCGCGCACACTGCTTGGCAGCCATGGACAAGAGCTCTTGATAGAAGGTATGACCTGTCTCTCGTTCTCCTCCGAGTTTTTGTCCTTCCTCGGTCTTCTGTTCCTCCTGTGTGTTGGGGCTTCTGGGGGAGGGGTGATGCTTGCTGAAAGAATTTGAAGCCATTGGTATCACACGTTCTAGTAAGATCTTCAATATATGCTCCCAACCCACTCTTTTTGTTCAATAACCGATGTTTGCCTGGTCTGGGCCGATGGTAGAATGCAGCACCCGGAATGGGAGTCGCTGGTTTTCTCGTCCACCAGGGCTGCCCAGTGTCCTCTTAGGTGTGTGTGTGGGTGGGGTGGGGGTGGGGGGGCTGTTCACCAAGCACGAGTCTCCCCCATCTTCTTCTCTCTCTTTAATTGACTAAACTATTTCCACCGAGTGTCCTAGGAGAATCCTTCATCGAGACAGCATGATCATGCCGAGCAGTCCCTAAACATGTTTTCAAAGCCACTCGCCTCCTACGGGGATCTAAATAAAAATGTCACAGAGTTTATTTTCCCTCTTTACCGCCTCTGTGCTTCCTAAAGAGAAGAGTGACCGATAGACAAACACAAAGAAACAACCTGACAGTTTGGTGGGATTAGACTGCAGCATCATTAACTCAGTAATGGTGATCAGAGCTAAAATAAGATGAGGAATAAAACTAGTAAGGTGTGACACGTGGATTTCAGACTAGGTGAGAGATCCTGCAGTAGGTTGTTTAGCAGCACGAGCAAAGCAGAAACCAGGTGATCTTATAAGACTCCCATCATTTGTTCCTAACTGGCACTTTGTGATGCACGAGAGGCTTCAAAACCTTCATGGAGGATTCCATTATCGTTCAACTCCATTTTCACAAACTGGTATCTAGGGAAGGCATCAGAACTGCTCTGACTCCTCACAACAACACACTTATTGTTGATGAGAATGAAACCATCAGTGACACGGTACTGGGAATTCAACTCTAAAATGACTCTTTATTAGCAGCGGGTTACCTGGTATTTATGAATGCAGAATTTAAAAACCATCACAGGTGACTTTCCCCACCAGTGATATGAGGTGCTTGTCCAAATCCATAAGCTGTACACCCAGTTCCTTCCATTTCTTGCTTCTGAGGCTTTGTGGATTAGAGTCCTGCGTACCATGACTAAAGCCAAAAACAGGATTTCTTTTTGACTGAATGCTGTGTCTTTGTCTCTGCAGCTAGTTTTGACCTAACCATAGGCCATTGTGTTTGACATCACCTTCATTTCTATGATATTGGATTGTGATGTGATATCACTTTTAAAGAAAAGACAGTGAGAGAAGAATTGGACAGAATATTAAAAGAGAACAGTGATAGGTAGACAAACACGAAGAAATGACCTGACAGCCTGATGGGCTCCTAGTGACAAAATGGAGAAACAGGCATTTTTTAGCATTTCTTAGATGAGACAGTTTTCCATAAGTCAAGTGTTCATTAAAGACTGTCTTAGACTGCGTTCCCTAGAATGATATATCTCTGTGTGTGTGTGTGTGTGTGTGTGTGTGTGTGTGTATGTGTGTGTAGAGAGAGAGAGAGAGAAAGAGATTTATATCGGGGAAAATAGCTCACACAGTTGTAAAAGTGGGCTCATCGGAGTCCAGGCAGGCTCCAAGTCTGCCGGTCAGATGGATGCTTCTCCTGACCCATGTAGGTTCAATTACTGATGAACCAAAATCAGCAGGAATACCACAGGCTGGGGACTGCAGAGATGCATGAATCCAAGGTTAGACTTGGGATGCCTCCCTTTATTGGCAAGCAGTACAACAGGCCATTGGTTCAAGAACAAAGAATCAGAGATTGGTGAAGTACGTGCAGACTCCGACCCAACAAAAAAGAAGCCAACTTCCCCAGTGCGTCCACTTACATAGGAAGTAGGCCACAACGCTGAGGAAGCGTCCTTTCAATTGCATCAGGGCTGTGACTTGAGACTCCACTCTAATCTCTTTACAACTAATGGACTGCTCACAGCAGATTCCATTCTGGAATTGATTACACCCTGTTAGGTGACATCATAGGAGATCGGATTACTAGACCTCAACGGCCAAACCTCTGAGAAGCCTGGCCCAGCCAAGTTGACACACAGCCCCTAACTGCCACAAAGACTAGTGATGGCAAATGCTTTCTTTGGCCCCCAAAGTTCCATATTTTCAGTTTACATCTTGCCAACTCTGATTTTGTTTTGACATTTATTTAAAATCTTTTATCTGTGATTTATTTCTGTTCTCTTTCTGGGAGATGGAAGGTGCAGGAGATGCGTTTTTGTAATAAGCTCCCATGATGCAGCTTGTGTGAACACTGGTACTAGATGAGTGCTGCCGTGGAAACGACAGCTGTGATATGAGTGAGCCTGCCTCCCACAGCACCACAAAGATGAGAAGAAACTAGCTGAGGCCTAGCCTAGTTGCAGACAAATAATATAAAGGGAAAACAAAAGACTTTTAGGGTAGATGCATATGAGGGGTTAACTGCATTGAAACGCATTCTTCAGAGAAAATTTGCTGTGTGAAATGCAGCTGACTCTAAGCTTTCTATAGCCCCTGGCTGTGTGACCCTGTGAATGGCAAGGCTGGTAATTATCACTTCTCTCCAGTCCCAAGGAGATCAACCTAATCAGAAGAATTGAATAAAGTCATCAGAGGAAAACTACAGTGTCTTCTCTCTCTCTTTCCTTGTTGGAATGCAAAATTATTCACCATCGAATGTCAGTTAATTTGTGCAGGGGTCAGCCCATCTCTGTTTCATCCTCGAAACCTTGGTCTCGCAGAGTGGAATGTGCTGCAACTTCCACGGGAGATTTTCATAATCAATATTGTGATGTCCAGAGAATTTTGCATGTGACACCAGTCTTCATTTAGAGAACGCCATGTGCCTCTTTGTCTCCTTGTGTGCTGTAAATCCAGAAGCGGTCGGGAGCAGGCTCTGCAGGTGTCCGTGAAGAGCTGTTGCTGCGGTGAGGAGCCGCTCGGCAGCTTCTGACTCACAGTGACCCTGTGTACAGCAGACCGCAGTCTGGCACCGCCCTCACAATCGTGCTGTTGGGCCCTCTCCTGAGTTTTTCAGTGGGTGATAATCTATCGCTGCTCTCCAAAAGGTTTTCAGTAGCTCATTTCTCCCATGTGGACACAGCCCATTTCTTCTTTATCGTCTGTTCTTTGCCTGGAAGTGCTACTAAAAAACCGGTCCATTTTGGGTGGCACTGCTGGCAGTTGAAATACCGATGACATCGCTTCCAGCATCACAGCAGCACACAGGCCCCACAGTCGGACACACTGACAGACCCGTAGTGGTGTAATGGATTAGACACAGGCCTCCTGGGCCACAGTCTGTCTGTCACACATGCTTGCTTTCTTTTGGCTTATTTTATTTTTAGAGCCTTTTTAAGAATGTAAAATCCATTGTTCTCTTGCTGGTCACTTGCGACCAAGTTACCCACTGGACATGAATTGTGGCCATAGGTGGCCAACCTAGATGTCCTGGAAGGTTTCAGCTCACCGCCACAGATGACTCTGCTGAGGCATACCAAGTGTGGCTTGGAAACCCCCTGTCCATCCATTATTCCTTTCCATACTTATGATGGTTTTTTCTTACATAAACCTGTTTTGACGGATTTATTTTATTTATTATAAGGTGTTCTGGATACCGGATGCTTTTGAGACCTTTATTTCAAAAGATAGTCAATGTCATTTCTTTCAGCAGAGCATCAAATGGAACTGTCATATTTTCTCAGCTCCAGACAAGTCAATTTTACATTGATTAAGACCAAATTACTGTGAATGTAAAAAGCACTCCGCTTCCAACAGTTTATTATTTTTTCAAGTCTTTTTAGCAATCACTTAGGGAAGAAAAAGCATTAAATATTTCTTAAGTGCCCAAATGAAACTGGAATTTGTAATATGCCATTTCTAATATTTAAAACTCTGATGTGCCATTAAAAATGACTTTCTTTCTAATTACTCTGTAGCATCACCTGCTCATGTGTACATAGACAATAGCATCTGATCAAATCATCGTATTGCAATTTTCAATTAGCTACTGACAATTGTAGTTCCTAGGGTTATCAGAACACCAAGATATCACAATATAACATAACGTTAGCCAACAAAGCGATGCTCCAGGGATGATATATTCCATAGAGGAAGCTTACATCTGGATCAGTGAGATAGAAAAGGAGCCCAGTCAAGTACCCGGATCAGTTGAATGTCATTCAGTCTTACCAAGTGTGATAACCAGATCACCTTCATACTAAAATGATTATTAGTGTAAAGGTTGAAACATTGCTGGCTATCTGTTACACAGGATGTTGTATGTAGTTCATTCCTTTCTTTAAACATACAACCTTGCTCTGTCTTCTATGTGCCTTCAAAGGTGGGGTGATCAAGCAACACATGGAATTATGAGAACCTTAAATCAAGGTTAAAGACTCCTTAGTCATCTAGATTGAATGTCAGTTCCTGCATAGGTTGTTGACAGGAACCGATTAAAGGGAGCAGTGGTATACTTGTTTGAAGGAAAATTCTAGAAGACAGTGTGGTTTCTGGCCATGATGGAGGAACAGGGAGTAGATAAACCCTTCCATCCTGGCCACTAGAAATGAGAACAGAGCACAGGAGCCCACTAGATTTAGAGAGTGGGCAGAGGTAGCAGACAGTGCTGGCCCTTGAGGTGATAGAAACCAAGGTGTGGATCTCTGTTTGCCCTGCCCTTGCTCTCAGGCAGTGTGGCACTGAAATGGGAGGGGCTCTCACACTTTGCACAGGAGAGACCTGTCCCTGGAGAAGGACACCATGTATAGGAAAATGGAGGGGCAGAGAAAACAAGGAACATCCTCAAGGAGAGGGAGCCACACAGTGGCTGTCACAATGGCTTATGCTAGGGATAATCGTGAGGACGGCACAGGGGCATGCAGGGTTTCGTTCTGCTGTGCAGAGGGTCGCTGTGGGACAGAAGTGACTCCATAGCATTGAACAGCAGCACGCGAGGTCCGCTCTTAAATTCAC